TGTTACATGTTTATATAACTTTAATGCAGATAAAAAAACAGCTGCTTGTTTAAGTGAAAATACATTGATGTTTTTTTTGCACTAATAAAATTGTGGAGTTGTAAAATATTTTGTCTCGTGTCCAATAATATCGTCAGTTATATCGTTATCACAAATTTTCAAATGTATATCGTAATAAATATTTTTGGTCGCCCTGCTCTAATCTCTAATCTCAATCATCCAGGTGAGTAAATCCCAAAAGGTTGATTGAATTCATCTGGACGTAGCGTTTTCAGCGTCACTTGACAGGTGACCAACATGTCCTCACAAACAGCACATGTGCGCCGTGATTCAGCGAGTTTCAGTCATTGTGCAGATGTGCTGTTTAAAAGGAAATGTTGGTCATCTGGATGATGACGAAACGTTTCTCCCACTGGTAACGTCCGGATGAACGGGATCATCCTTTTACGATTCCCATCAGTCAGTTAACGTATGCAACCAACCAGAAGTCCAGCTGCCTTCTAATTAACTGGTTAGGATTAACCAGTGGTTACTGGGACTCAAAGATATCTCATCACTGATGGCAGTGACCTGAAGGGGAAGTGCAGCTACGTGTGGCCAAGGGTGTCAAATTCAGGTTGTATTACTAAACTTTACACCCCCCCACAGTCAAATACATCCAAAGCCAATGAAGGTTGACTGGAAAGGAGGGAACATATAAGAGAGTAAAGCAGGAGAAGCAACGAGAGAAAACAGGAAGCGCTATCCTCAGAGACCGTGTGCTATTTATCAATAAATTATCTCCTTTTTTTAACTTCCGCGCCGTCTCACACACTTTTTCCTTCTTTCTCTTCCCTTTGTTTCAGTAAACTTTTGGTTTTCGCTGTGAGTGTGTATGTGTTGAATTATTAAGCCTCCCCACAGGAGTGGTGCCCATCTTACTAATTCATAAGCCACCAAGGAATAGAGTTAAAGTTTAAAGCGTTTGTGTGTACCTGGGGGGTGGGCACACAACACAAGACAAACTCAACAACCGAGCGAGGGAAAGAGCCAGGGAGAGCCAGGCACAGAGAGATGGAGCGAGAAGAAGCAAAAGCAAAGGTGCTGACTTCGTTTCTCCTAAAATAGGTGCTGAATGAAAGTGTGAGCACCGCAGGCCTAATGTGGTCATCCAGTATTTTGTCTCTGCCCTCCAGTGTATTGCAAAGGCTGAAAGTGCTCCATATTCACCGGTTTGGAGACATTACTGTGTTCACGTCTGCACACACTTCTGGTAGGGGCTTCTTTAGCAGTGGCGCCCTGCTGCGGGATCACCCCCACAGTTTGAAATGTTAAAACAATGAAAATTGCAAAATCTGAAATGCCAAAGCCGCTCCAGCACATTTACTGAACTAGCGACGCAGAGAGAGACAGCTCTGAGCCGCAGCAGCTGATCAGGATGATTCAGGTGCAGATATTAACTTTACCAAGCGGAGCACACCCCTTTGGCTTTGAGACGGTTTTATTTAGCACGCAATAAAACAAAACAGCGAGGACATTTTTCTTTTCGCCATCGCTGATGACGCAGCATCTGCACAAGCACAGCTGTAAATCTTCACCTGTCGTGTTTGACGTCATCAAACTGATGAACAACTGATGACGTTTAAAATCAAAGCAAACGTTGGACACGAGAGAACAGGACTCGTCTGTGCTCTCGTCCTTGAAGGTAAATGTGTGAGTTTGCCTCTCACCTGTGAAGCAGACGGGACACTTGAAGGTACCTCCCATGCCTTCGAAGCTGTGCTCTATCAGGTGGCAAAGCAGCTTGGCAGGTGAATCAAACATCTGGTTACACAGCTTGCACTCGTGATTGATGCCTTCCTCTGCAAATAGGAGACAGACACGCGTGTGGAGGCCGGATTAGACAACATAACACGGGAACACATGACATGATATCAGGATATTAACACAACATGCATGGTGGATGTTTCCTGTGTGTCAGATGTGCACACATTTACCGTTCCAGTATTTATAACAAGGACTTTCTTAAGTAACATCAGCGAGATGATGTTTGAGTTCGAGCAGAACTGAAAGGACAATGTACGGAAAACTGAACTGAGAGACGACATCCTACTCACGCTCCGAGAAGAACCAAAATCTTTCCCAGCTGGTAATTGCCTGTCTTCCCCATCGGGTTTGGGGATGATCTACCCCTCCTACAGCTCTCCCTCGCCTCCCTCTGTCCTCATTATCTGTCCTTCCCCACTGCAGTCACTCATCCATCCCTCACCTCACCCATCCCTTCCTCTGTGTCCCCCCTCGTCTCTCTTGGTCCATCACTCTCTGATTAATTGGTACGGCTTCCAATTCGCACTCCTCGCTCCATGCGACTCATTTTCACGTACAGTATTCGGATTTCCTGTGTGAGACTTGGTCACGCCTTACATTTTGTATCAAATTCAAATTAAGATCAGTTTGTGACAGCCGCTCGTCAGCAGCATCACTGTGATACAGATGAGAGATATGGAGCTCGCCGCGTCAACATAAAGAGTTCTGAACGGAGATTAAATGTAAATATGATCGAGCTTCATCACACGAGCAGACGTCATCAGCCTCCGTCCTCTCTGAGGGATTATAGCAGTGTTACTGTGTCTATTTTAAGATGGCGCGAGTGACATCACAACACCCACGGCGAAAGGTGGGCGTGCACCCCTTGACGATCAGGTCTCCTGCCCGTTGTCCTTATCGCCATTGTGCCACACAGGACAGACGCCCCAGTCGCCCACACACACACGAGCACACCAGAGGCCCGTACTGCCCGGAGACATCAGATGGCGTCTTCTGTGGGCCAATCTGTGACCTCCTGAGGAGCTGCACGCACGTACACACAAACATGCAAACGCACAGAGAGCGCGATCTGTGTCTTTTCACTCGTTTGTCACTTATCTCGTGTCCTGTGAGTGCAAGCGTCCACACACACACACCGACACGGCAAACGAGTCTGTGGAAGTTCAGCGTCGGAGCTGCAGGAGATCGCGAGGTTAATAACGTCTTCAATCACACATCCATGACACACATACTGACTGACACACACAAACACGCACACACAGATTCCTATCTCTCTGTGCCTCAAAGGCCGACACAAGGGTGCCCTAATCCCGTCTCAATAGCCACGGGGGAGAGTGTGTGTGTGTGTGCGGGCTTATGTGAATGAGATGGTATGCTCCGTGGACCCCAAACATCCCCGTTCCCCCGCACACACACAAACCTCAAAGGCTGCTGGGTTGTGTGGGGCGCCAGAGTGTCCGAGACACACTGAGACAGATAGAGGTTCATTATCATTTACTAGGAGATTGAAGCAGCAGGAGAGAGTCACATGGGGCGAGGCGCACAGAGAGGGAGGCGTGTCTCTACCAGCCGAATCGTCACATTTTCATTATTTCCTTAAACGTACGCCTTTATTTAACAATGCATCATTTCAGCTGTACAGGAGGTGATACGGAGGGCCAACACTGTAAGTGATGCTTTGTGTGCATGTGTATTGGGGGGGCTCTGTCGAAGCCACTTTAAAGCTCGTGTCCTCAGTGGGGGCAAAGCTCTCTTCAGAAGTTGCCTTGCACTCTCCCACGCTGCCAGGATCAGAGGGTCAAACATCAGCCACCCTCTCATGTACACAACGATGCGTCCAGCATCAGCGCTGCTCCAGGTTATTGTGCGCACAGTTGTTGCAGTTACACAAACACACATCATTGCACTAATCAAGCAAAGTCGTGTTTCTGTCAAGTTGACAGTTGGGAGGGGATTTCTTTTTAATCTAACGCGTTATTCCTTCATGATGTGATTCTTCTTTTCTGTATTTAACCAATAACGTTCGTATTTCATCAGCCAGCAGATCTGAGAGGAAAAAGGACTTTTTGATTCAACGAGCACAGATGACGTCAACAAAAACAGAATTACAAAAGAAACCTTTGAAGCTAATTATTGGTCAATCAAATGTAGGGAGGGTAAAAAAATGGGCCAAAAAATACTAAACTAGAGGAAGAGAGGGCGGCAAAACGCACAAAGAGAGCGAGAACTGAGGGGAAACAGTGAGGTGCAGAGAGATAATTGGGCTGTCCGGCACAAGGGCATGGAGAGAGGCCTCCATCGCCCGTGTGTGTGTCCCATGAAAGAGTTCTCTTTTCTGACAAATACATTGTTTTGATCAGTGTGTGTGTGGGGACCAGTGTCTCTGTGTGCTGTCCCCCTCTGAGACACAGCCCGTGTGTGAGCGTGTGTGTGTGTGTGACCCATAGTGAGATGACAGAGTCGTAGAGCATCCTGCCGCTACGCTTTGTCTCACAGAGTGCATTTGATCCACCACCGCACACACACACACACAGACACACAACCCTGGGAGGCCTGTGCTGGGACAGAGAACACAGGGGAGAGAGGGATGAGAGGGAGAGAGGCAGGGTGAAGGTTAGGACTCTGAGTTTGTTACCACCCAACACAAAATTAACTTTTTCTGCTTTTTAAATGCACATCAAAGCAAATCGATGCTTTCAAACGTAAACGACAGTTATTGGTGGAGCATTTCGTTTGAATCGTGCTCTTTAAATAAATATCACGCTGCTATATGTCATTTATAAATGTGTAACATATATTCTGCCATGTGTCAGGAGCTCCGTCTGTAATCGCACATTTATCTAACAGATTAGCATATCAGACAGACAGAAGGACAGCGAGGAAAGACAGCAGCTACAGTGTGATCATAAACGACACAACGCTGCAGCCGCGCACACAACAGCTGGGAAAGTTTCACCTCAAAGAGGAAATATTAGCAAGCGAGCAAACAGTGTGAGGACAGGACTGAGTGCAGTGTGTGTGGATGGGCAGAAGCAGCAACAAGGAGGGACACAAGTCCAAACTGCAGCCACACATCATTACAATTCCTCCAACACAACCTCCCCTCAGTCTCATTGTGTTGTTACCCACCTCTCTCTCTCTCTCTGCTAATTGACGAGAGGAGAAGGACCAGGTGGCATCATACCCGTCACACACACACACACACACACACACACACACACGCAGCAGCACATAAATGAGCTCCTTGGTTTGTGTTGGGGGTGACTCCCTAAGGCGCTGCCTCTTACATGCCGCACACATCTGCGTGCACACACAAATATCTTAACCCTTTCTTAGTCTGGGCTGGGGAGTCCTGTGGGTGCTCGGCCCCCACGCGTCCTAACCTCCCACCTTCCCCTCCCTCTCTCTGTGAATAGCTGCTGGGGGTCTCTGGGGTCTCTACCTTCCATTACTGGCCTTCCCCGTTCCTGTCAACCCCCCCATCCCCAAACTATATGAATGTGGATGTGTGTGTGAGAGCAGTAAAATGTGTGTTTGGTCCCTGGTGGTGTAAAGGCCGTAAACCAAGCCAGGCGACTGATGGGGAGGACACAGGAGAGGCAGCAAGATGAAGGGAAGAAGGAGGGAAGTGAAGGAAGGCTGTGTGGAGAGGAAAGGAGAGATGACGGGACGGACGGGGAGAGAGCAACAGAGGCGTCGGGAGAAGAAGAGAGCAGTGGACGGAAGGAGGAGGAGGAGGAGTAGGCACCTCTCTGGGGGGCTCGCTCAAGGTGTGTTTCCATGGCAACCAGGGGCAGGGGGGGGCGATGCGCGGGGTGTGAGCTTGACCCATTGGTAGTGTGGGGGCTGGAGAATACACACATGCACACACACTCGCAGAAACACACAACCTGCTGCAGTGCTGGAGGGGTCCCAAGAGTGCCCCCACCTTTACTCACCCTCTCTCTCACACAAACACACACACAGAGGAAGAATGCTGCAGTGCTGAGGTCCCGCGAGTACACAACTCCCACACACAGCCTCCCTCCCTCCCTCCTCTCATCTTCCATTTTCCCTGTTTCCATCACTCGCTCTGTGAGGTAACTGTTAATATTTTCATCATTTGTTTACTCCTCATCTGACTCTGTGGATGTTTGACAGACCGCTGAATGAAGACGGGACGCTGAGCTACGACGATCTGTCCGTTTACACACATCCAGTCTGCTTTCAGACGTTTAAAGGCTCAATCTCTCATAAACGCGTGATGGAGACGGTAAAAGTGCAGTGTCTGCACGGCTTTGTTGGGCTTCCTAGTCCCTGTTCATCAAAGCCAAGCTGCTCCTGAAAGGTTAAAGTTCAGACAACGAGTAGCACAAACCACCCGCCATAATGCACACACACACACACACGTCTGGTTTGCTATCCTCGTGGGGTCCTCCCATTGACACAATGCTTTCCCTAGCCCCTTACCCTAACCATCAAAAATGAGTGCCTAACCCTCACCCAACTGTAATCCTGACACTAAAACCACATTTGAGTGTGAAAAATGAAGGTTGGTCCCCACCAAGATAGGGAAACCGGTGTAGACACACACACACACACACACACACAGTAATGAGTGTGTTAGCCTAATGCATGATTTGGTTATTACCTTTCAGTTCTATTCATGGTGTCTGCATGTGCACTGAGGGGTGGATGGTGACAGTGGGCTGTGGGCAGAAACACTCTGACACATAAAGAGGAAACAAAAGAAAGCAGTGATGCTCTTTAAGTGCAACATGGGCCCAACTTTGGGCCTTTTTGGAAGTAAGGCTGCACTGGAATTTCTGAACTACTCGTCTTTGTACGA